ACATCTTTATTAAATTTGGTGCATCCTGCTAGTTCGGTGCACAGCCTGTATAGATTCAATAAGATTTGAATTCAAATAATTTATCATTTCCTTCCTTTCAAGTCAAGGAGGTAATTTCAGTATATATAAAATAAATTTTTTCAGGAGGAGGTAAAAGGTAAAAAAGTTCCCTGACGCCTGCTTTATAATATTTATGGAAAGAGAAATGGGAGAGAGGGAGACAGTTTCAGTAGAGGATAAGAAATCTTCCAGAAAATTCTAAGAGGTGAGACTCAATCTTAGTGGTGGTTGTATCATAGTTTTGGGTGTTTTTCTTCCTAGATTTTTGCACTGCTACTGCAAGTGGTAACAAGAGTGACTGTTTTGCCAGCCTGGCTCCTATCTCTCTTTCTTCACAGTGACTTTTAGCTACCATTGGGTGGGCGCTCTGGTGGTTTCTCAGGGTTGGGAAAAACCTCCCAGCCAGTTTCAACCCTGGTTGTAGAATAGTTTCACTCTTTTTTCCTTAATAGTTTTTCATTTACCCCTACTGCCACAGCACATCGAAATGGCAGCAACTGCCTTGGTAACCTGCCCATCCCTTGCATTTTCCTTAATGCCCCTGTGGCCAGCACCATCCTGCTGTTTCCAAAACTGGTGAAGCCATTTTGGAAATAATTGTGCAAAATGGCTTTCTGCAAAATGAATTTCTAATAGCGCCCCCCCCCCAAAAAAAAGCAAACCCAATGCATTTTAATAGCATAGAGTAGTGTAATGGATTGAGTGCAAGTCTGGGGCTTAAAAGACCTGGGTTTGTCCCCACTCAGCCATAGAAACTGGTAAAACAACTCCTTAAATATCTCATTTACCATGAAAACCCAATTAAGGCCTCTATAATTTGGTGATAGCACATAACATAATAAATAGAAAGATCTCATATCGTTTCCCAGAAAAAATGGCTTCTCAGAAATACTCATTTAGTAGTTGTCATCTTTCAAGCTTTAGCACCTTCCTCAAGATTTCCAAATCTTCAATCTTTGAAGGGTCACTGCACATACATCTTGTCTTTATTACAGCTTGTTCTCTTTAAGTCTTGAGTGGATGTGAGCAAGGGCAGATGTGTGAGCAGTGCCCTAAAAATGTGAAACTACCGCTGCCTCTGAACTGAAAGCTGGAGTACTGGCAAAATTTTATGTATTGGCATGTTCTACATAGGAGCAGTCACATCTTTTTAGTCATCATGTTGGTAACATTAGATATTCAGCTTGTAGTAAGTTCATGAATTTGTTGCTGCATATAAATATCTTATTCCTTTTTTGCACCTACTCATTGTATCCATTTTGTCTGCATTCTTAGTGGCAGATCAGTGATCACAACAATATAGACCGCAATTTTACTTCAGTGTGTCCAGGTTTATGGCCCTCATTGTTGCCTGATGAAATGTTGAGAGTAATTAGAAGTTCAAATATTCTGGATGTATCTCAGCAGCCAGATAATTACTGTATTACCATTGTGGTAAACATGGAAATTAGATTTGGTTTACCTTATTTGGTGTTTCATCTTCTTCATATGTTGCCTTGAGCATTTTTCATGGGAGATCAACATATAAATGCAATAAGCAAATCAAAACAATTTGGCAGGTGCAATCTGAAAGTATAGTTTTATTTAATGCTGGCCAAGTAGAAAAAAAGTATTTAATTTATTTACAATATTTTATCCTACTTTTCTCCTAAAAAGGGGCCCAAGTTGGCTTGAATCGTTTAAAAGATCAGATCTGAAAGCTAAAAACACTAAGTTATATAACTATTTCAAATGAATTAAATGAATATTATATTTTTAAAAAGAGATAAAAATATTACTAAAACAGATTTAAAAGCAACAAATATACCAACCATTGCATTAAAAAAACTCTTAAGCAGCCAGTCACTACAAGAAACCTTGTCTGAAGAGAAAGTTATTTTCTGCTTGTGGAAGAACAGCAGAGATGAGACCACCTTTAAAAAAAACAACCCAATCTACTTTCCTCTTAGGAACCTGGGATCTCCAATGAAAATTAGATACTTAAAAAATAGATAATATAATCTTATTTTCATTATATCTTTCCTTATCACTCTGTATCATATGCACGACTGTTACTATATTCAGTAATGAATATCTACATATTACTCTCATTTATAAACTAGATCTCTGTCTCAACCACAGCACTTAACATACAATAACAAGGGTAATAAAGGGCAAATCAGCCTTAACAAATGACTTCATTATGAAGTCAGAAATCAAAGCTGTTTGTTCAATTGATTATTCCATGTTCTTTCCCCTGCCCCCTGCCCTTGGTTTACTGTTCTCTATTTGCAGGCAGGAATGGCTTCCTCTGAGAATCCTGAGCAACTGATAATTGCCTTGGAACCAGAGGCTGCATCAATCTACTGCCGGAAGCTCCGTCTTCATCAGATGATAGACCTGAGTAGCAAAGGACCTGTCAATGGTTATACCCCAAGCGAGGCCATTGGCACTGGCTTTACACCAGGTACGGCACATAGGTTAATGTTCTGATTCAGGGCTGAACTTCATTCCACATGCCCCCTCATCCCTTTTTTGAAGTAAGAAGCCTTCAAAAGAGACCACCCTGATTCTCATGTATACCATGGAGTAGCGGGGATGAGTTTATCACATAAAAACAGGGCTTGGGACTGTTACATTTTTTACACTACTATCAAGTTGTTAGGTGATATATGAACTAAGCCCTTAGAGCAGTGGTCCCCAACCTTGGGCCTCCAGATGTCCTCAGACTACAATTCCCAGAAGCCTTCACCGAAACCTCTGCTGGCCAGGATTTCTGGGAGTTGAAGTCCAAGAACATCTGGAGGTCAAGGGTTGGGGACCACTGCCTTAGAGCACTATAAACTGTAACACTCCTTAACCATTCAGCCTATGCAATCCATCATAGCAAACATTCCCTGTGTAGAGGTTTTGTGTGCAATGTGAATCAGAGTATGTGTTATGGACAAATAACTGTCCAGATGAATTATGCTTTTCTTTTTTATTGAATATACAAGCAAGAATTAATATAATAACTTTTCTTTAAAAATACATGTGGGAAACATAGAAATCTTAATATTGGAATATAAAAGTTCCAATAAATAAATGAATAAATGAAGTGTTAAGGACCTAATGCATCTTTGGAGTATATCTTCAAAAATTTAACTGTCTTAAAATCTAGAGCATAAGAAGATTAATAACCACATTCATTTTAAGCACTTAAAGTATCTACCTGTAACTTTTCTCTCTCCTTCTGTAGCTTACATTGCATTGGCCTATTTATAGGGCAAGGGTGGCTTTGTTTACCTTGGTTTGTTTGCATTCATCCACTATCCTTGCAGATTTCATTAGCAGCCAACTAATGCAAAACCTCATAGACTTCACTTCAGTAGCAGACAATTGCTTGATAAGGTCTTATCTTCATTTTCTCTTAAGTTAGCAGACAATGCATTTTCTGAGTGACTCTGCTTCAGTGGCAAACGCCATGCATTCTCTGCAGGAGTTGCCACAGCTACAGATGCGATGGACTTTTTCATATACTCTGCTACTTAGGTAGGTTACATGAGACTAGATGGGATTTCACCAATCAATCTGGAGTGATCGCCAATGGACATTCAGTCCATTGCTACTTAAACTGTTACTTTTTCCCTTTCCCCCCATTTTCAAGGAGTAAGTCCAGCTGATTTCAGTGAGGTTTACTCACAGTTAAGCAGGTGCAGGACTATAATCTTAGATTCTATGTCCAATCTGTTGCTCAGTACATTGCTTTGTAGAAAGATGTAACTGCTATGAAATGATATTATCCTCAATATTTGGCAGATTGCCTTCTTCCACCTAGATCTACCTGAATTACTCGGCACAGCTGGGAGGGACGGCTGAGGGGCCTAATGCCGAGAGAGGTCCAGGAAGAAAGAACAAGAAGCCAGGCCTTCTCGGCAGTGGCCCCTCGACTATGGAACAGCCTTCCAACAGAGATCCACCTGGCACCCTCGCTGGGTGTTTTTAAGAGCCATTTAAAGACTTGGCTCTTTAGGCAGGCCTTCCCTTCTGTCAATTCTTGAACTCTATCTTTTTGATCTATCAATCCCCATCTTGAACATGCCATATTATTGATTTAATTGTTTAATGATCATGATGTTTTTATTGTGTTTTATGATATTTTATGACATTTGTAAGCCACCCTGAGTAGACGCTGTCTAGGGGGGTGGGGTAGAAATCTAATAAATAAATAAAATAAATAAATATTATGCTGCTTCCACACCAGGTTTTCCTTGACTTACACATATTTGTTTATACATCTAATAAATAAATTAAATAAATAAATATTATGCTGCTTCCATACCAGGTTTCCCTTGACTTACACATATTTGTTTATGCATGATAAATTAATTCCTCTTTTCAAGTGAATCTCTGGAACAAAGTAATTGATATGTAGAGCTGAAAAGTGTTTTACAACTGTTTCAGAGATTTTCCATGGAGATGCTTGGTTTGAGACTTATTTTATGAAATTATTCTAGTGCTTTCCGTTTTAACTTTAGATAGATGACCGCTTAGTGGTAAATTACATTTTTTTAAAAATACAGAACATTCTCAATACTCAACATCTCTCATTAAAAGGATCTATTGTGTGATGAAAATATCACCTAGTGCTTAAGACCCTAAAACATAGAAGCTAGAAATGTAGCTTTCCATGTTTCTAATTAATTGTGAAATAAATAACCAAACTTATCACCCAGAAACTTTTTTTTCCAGAGTCATAAATCAAGTGCTTCCAGTGTTTACTACAAATCATTTAGCCCGATCTTTGATTCATGTATGCCCTCTGCTGGCACAAATGTAATTTACCAAGAGCCAAAAAACAACAACAATTCTAACATTAACTGCATTCCTTCATGTAAAATGTGGAGCCTCCACCTCTATCACTGCCTCATCTGAATTTTTTTTATTGTTAAATAATCAAAGGGATGTCTGTACATTGGAGTTGAGACTTTCACCCCAAAGCATCAGGGTTGGGGCTTAACAAACAAATAATCGGCATTCAGTGTTTTTACTTAATTGCTGCATACTTGCTCATGTTTCTTAAATTTTGTCATTTTATTCCTGTCATTCGCTAGCTAAAGAACATATCCGGCGTAACCGACAGAGCCGCACTTTTTTGGTTGAAAATGTCATCGGCGAAATTTGGTCCGAGCTGGAAGAAGGTACTGCCTTTTCCTTTGTTCTCACCATTGTTTTATATTGCCAATATCACTGCATTTTCTATACACTTACCTTGTGCTTTTAAGATATTTGCAGTAGTTGCTGATTCTTCCCTTATCCCTTTGGCGGCTTTAAGACTGTCGAAGTTGCATGCAGTTAAAAGGCCAAGCAAAAAAGTGATTTTTCAAAATTCTCCAAAATCATCCTTAGCAGTTTGATTCTAAAAACAATACATGTAGATATTTTAGCCCAGCCTTACAAATTTATGTAAAAAAAACCAATCCATCTTTTCTGTTCATTTAAGGCTAAAAGAAAGAGAGAAATAATACATAGGTGGATGTCAGCACTCAACTTTTTCTAGTGGCTACATCAGATTGCAACATCCTAGATGTGTTTATAGTTTTAGGTTTAGGTCAGGAATCTTATGAGGCTCCACGTCTGTGATTGTAGGAAGGCAGGAACAGCAATGAGGAGTTGGGGGCAAAGGCTGTAAGAGTGGCCAGGGCCATCCATTATTCTGCTTCTCATCTAAGAACAAGGAGCTATAGAGCTTTTCCAAGCACAAAATCTTTTAGGGTCAAAAGCTGATGAATGTACTTGCCTTTCTTCAGCTCATATGTAGTATGTAAAGGTGACACTCTTGGTTCTATTGATTATAGAAAAGAAATTATAATATGGGTTATGCACCAGCCAGAATCCCATTGTGAAATATTGTGTATGTGTGTGTGTATGTGTGTGTGAGAGAGAGTATGTAAAGAAAATTCACACAAGTATTTTTCAGAATGTTTTTGCTGGATGTCATGGACGTGTGTGTGAGAGAGAGAGAGAGAGTATGTAAAGAAAGTTCACACAAGTATTTTTCAGAATGTTCTTGCTGGATGTCATGGACGTGATCTGGGTATGAGAAATCTGATTATGCACACCAGTTCTGCAGTTTGGAATTTACACTGCCCATACCCAGTAAGATTTTGGCCATTTAGCCATACCCAGTAATTTTATTTATTTATTTATTTATCGAATTTATATCCCGCCTATCTAGTCAGTTACGACCACTCTAGGCAGTTTTTTTACATAAAGATTTTGGCCATTTATTTTGCATTCTTCAAATATCTGTGCATTTACTTAATAACGTGCTGCATTCTGAATTCTACCTCCCCATTATCAATGGCTGCCGTCTTCAGACAGCAAGCTAATGCACAGACACATTATGTTAGCACAATCTCATTGCAAAAAAAGTGAAATATTTGATTTAACAATAATACAGGCTGTACATTGCTATTTGCACTTGTGTCAACAGGTGACAGTTATATAGTCGTAGACAGTGGAGGAGGAACAGTTGATGTGACTGTTCATCAGATCAGATTGCCTGAAGGACACCTAAAGGAACTCTACAAGGCAACAGGTAAGCTACATTATTCACTCCTAACATTTCTAGGCTATTTAAATTTCTCTGCTACTTAAAAGAAGTGGTGGCACGATTGTGTCAAAGGAATTCTGCTTCTGGATTTTTTGCTGCCTTCTATCACTCCACTCCTGACCAGGGGCAGGGGGAGTGTTCAAATTCACTCTCTGGAACTCAATTGCTTAGCATTAGCACATCAGATAGAAAATATAGACTACATAGGAACTGCAGCATCTGTACCAAATGTTCTAATAGTGGCTGATGCCTGTTGTTGCTGGTGGAGTCTAGGACAGAGCAGCTCAGATCAGATTAGGCATCCTTCAGTCTCGAGAGACTATGGTAACATGCTCTGTATGGAGGACTTGGAACAGCATCTAGTGTGGCTGAAAGGCCAATTCAAGAGTGACCATCCCTTCCACACTGAAGACAAATACAATCTGTCCCCTGTCCAGCTCCTTGATTTTGCTGGTTTCGGGACTGCCTCTTTGCCTCGGCCTGCTGGACAAGTGTCTCTTCAAAATAGGAGAGGCCATGATGCACCGCCTTCCTTCAGGCTGAACGCTCAGTTGTCAAGTTTTCCCATCTGTTGAGGTCCATTCCTAAGGCCTTCAGATCCCACTTGCAGATATCCTTGTATCGCAGCTGTGGTCTCCCTCTGGAGCGCTTTCCCTGCACTAATTCTCCATACAGACTGTGGCGAGGTAGCACCTTACTGTCTGGGGACTGCCCAGCTTAAGGCGGGTGGTAGCTACCTAGTGAGGTGCAATGACCTCTCCCACTGTTGGAACGAGCCCCTGGCGTCATGCTCTACGCCAACCGAGCGAAGACTTAGAACCAGTAACTGCTACTTCCTGTGTTGTTTTGATGCTGTATGCGAAACTGGAGTGTCCTCTCCAGAGCACGAAGCCTGGGTAAAATAATATGGAGGATAGGCTGTTACCCAAGCAGCAAGTCCCTCCTCTCCACATCACTGAAATAGTCCAATGGAAAGGCAAAAGCCAATACAACTGGTTCCAGTGACATTGCAGGAGTTGCCAGAACGACACAAACTGCCTCCGGGACTCCGGCTCCAGATTTTGCCTTGAGGTTAACTCCTTTTCCATCAGTGGATATAGCCACAAGGCAGTGGAAGTTTGAAATTGGAGTTTTCCTTCTCCTAGATGGGCTGCCTTCCAAGGCTGATGAGCCCCACCAACCCAGCAAGACAGAGCAGCTAATGATAGAATAAGCCAAAGTACCACAACAGGCAAAGCCTACTAACGCATCAGTTCAAAGCAGAGGTTTGGCAGGGGGTGGCCCATATAACAATAACAACATGGCTGGCTATTGTTGTTTGACATGGCTATTGTTGTGAAAAAACAAATATCTTTTGCATATGAACATTCTTCATGGACAGCTATCTACATTGATCCTATATTGGAGGATCAGGCAGAATAGTCTTCTCAGACTCCAAAAGTGTCTACCCAGATGTTGTTGAACTCTTAACAACCTCAGCAGCTGAGGCCAGTGACCAATGGAGTAGAGGTCAGAGAGCATCTGGCAATCCAAGACTGGGAGCCAGTGGCCTAGATCAAGGGTGGGCAATCTGTGTCCTTCCAGATGTTGGGCTGCAGTTTTTCCTCACTATTAGCTTTGCTGACTAAAGCTTCTGGGAGTTGAAATCCAGCAATATCCAGGGGGCCAAATGTCGCCCACCCTTGTTCTATCTGCCCTTGCCCTCAGCACAGTAATGGCTGAGTGAAATGGCGGCATCAGGAGCCCTTCCTGCTTTCTCACTAGAAGAGCCTTTGAAGCTTGTGCCCTGGAAGCAAGGCAGACAGCCACAGAGGAGAGAGGGAGAGATGCCTGCACTGCAGATGCGAACTGCATACAGAATGCAACAGAAACTTAAGCGGTCACATGTGGCACCTTGTACTTCACATTCACCCAGGAAAAAGTGACACATGCTGGGGGAAAATAGATAAGTCGCAGTGGAAGCCAAAACCATGTTTTTCACGTATGAAAAACGACTTGGTATATGGGAAGTTGGAGTGGTGGTGTACAAAAAAGCCTACACATAATATTGGCTTGCCTTTAAAGTGCCACAAGTCTCTGCTGTGTTTTTCCTCTAATATGAGTAGAGGCTCAATTAAGAGCTCCTCATGTTTAGACTAAAGGGCTGTAATCCTGAACATTTTATGGCATTGATCCTCCAAGCACTGTGACTGCTGAGGGAGGGATTTCCCATCTTTATATGAGGAGCAGGTTTCAGATCCTTCCACCACCCTCAATCACACTTGCAGACTCCTCACCATCTCCTGAGGCACTTACTGAACCAACGGGAAAATTCACATCCACAAAATGAATTGGACTGAAGCGATTAAAATTTACAGTAGTAATTTTCAAAAGTCCTTGTTGGCCAGGTGGAAAAAAAACACTCACTTTCAAAGCCAAATAAATTGATTTTACACATGCGTCGTGTGCTTGACAACTTTTTCATCAATTTAAATAATGCTAAAATGCAGTTCTTATGACTAGTGTGACCATGACATAACACAATAGAACTTGAGTTAAAATTTCAGTGGGTTTCCTTTGGCTAAACCCAGTATGAATGCACTGTGATTTAAGTTAGCTGTGATTTCATAAGTCATGATTTTTATGTGTGATTAGGTTCCAATCCAGCCCAAGTTGTTCTCCTCTAGGTATTCAAAATGCATACTGTAGCGCCGATACAAGTGGAACATTCTGGCTGTATGCACAATTCCTTAACCAATATTAATAATACCATTTGTTTCTGATCCAGGTGGGCCACATGGTTCCTTGGGTGTGGACTATGAATTTGAAAAGCTCCTGTGTAAAATATTTGGAGAAGATTTTATTGAGCAATTTAAAATAAAGCGCCCTGCTGCCTGGGTTGATCTGATGATTGCATTTGAATCCCGCAAGAGAGCAGCAGCCCCAGACCGGACTAATCCACTCAACATCACTCTGCCATTCTCGTTCATTGATTACTATAAGAAATTTCGAGGTCATAGTGTTGAACATGCCTTAAGGAAAAGCAAGTAAGTCAGAAGTAAGCTGAGCTATCTCTGTGCTTGTTTACACAGGAGTTGTCCCTTGTTTCAGCCTCCCATATAAGGGTGAAGAGCCACAAAATTATTCTACTTGCTTTGCTAAAGAATGAGGCATTTTGTGGTACTCTCAAGAAGAGAGTGGGAACATTTTGGGGAACAAATTAAGCAAAATTGTACAAATAAGGAGAGAAATCTCTTTTTTTTACTCTCCGCCAGAAGTATGATGGACAAGTCTTATAATGTAAAGCAGGGATGAGCAGCATGCACCCCTGAGGCACAAATGTGACCTCTCCCCTTTGTCACCACACCCCAAATTAATACCTTCCTTGAGAAAAATAAGCTTTGGCTTAAAGTCTTCCTGCGCCCTTTACAGGCCATGAGAGGCAATTTGCCATGTTTGGGGGGCTCCTCCTTGGAGATTATGACTTCCGAGAGGATGGCAAAGTCTTTTCTGAGGGGCCACAGGTGTCTCGTAGCCCTTTCAAACATGAACTTTAACAGTGCATATTGAAGTTACTGTGTAGAGATGGGCACAATGGACTTTGTGCCGTGTTGTCTAAATTATCGGTGTGTCACCACAGGTGTTGTTTGTTCACTTTCCCCGCCCCCCTGGCCAGCTCCCCCACTGACCTGCCAGTGTGCACTCCTCCTTCCATCCCCATCATGTGATCTTCTATTCTGACAGGATCACAGACTTGCCTGCTCCACCTCCTCCAGCAGCTGTCCACTCAGATAAGGAGACAGGGCAGGGATTCCTACAGCACTGCCTGTGTGGGGGCAGCTGCTAGTTGTTCACTTTCCCCGCCCCCCTGGCCAGCTCCCCCACTGACCTGCCAGTGTGCACTCCTCCTTCCATCCCCATCATGTGATCTTCTATTCTGACAGGATCACAGACTTGCCTGCTCCACCTCCTCCAGCAGCTGTCCACTCAGATAAGGAGACAGGGCAGGGATTCCTACAGCACTGCCCGCGTGTGGGCAGCTGCTAGAGGAGGTGGAGAAGGGAAATCCATGCTCCTGCCGGAACTAGAAGTTCATGCAATAAGGAGGTGGAGAAAGGAAGTCCATGCTCCTGGCGGAACTAGAAGTTCACGCAATAGGGAGAGGACAAGCAGTGCACACTGGCTGGTGAGTGGTGAACCGACTGGGGAAGAGAATGCTTGGCACATGATGACTTAAGACAACCCAGCATGAAGCACTTTGTGCCCATCTCTATTAGTATGTATGTGCATGTATGAGAAACAGGCCTTTTGGGAGAGAAATAAACCTGTACTTTCTTTAAAAAGGAAGACCAGAACTATTTTTTTTACAAAAAATAAAAATGCCAGTGTACAGATATAATTGCTGTTCCTTCTCAAGATTTTAACTATGACATGCCACTTCCAGAGAGCCTAAAAGAGGGGAGGAAAGAGAAAGAGAAGGGGAAAAAACACATATACAACAAACCCCCAGGAGTGGGAGATGAAAAAAAAGTCCCCCTCTTCTACAGTGGGTGCATGGAAAACTTCATGTTGGTTTCTGAGGGGGATCCTCTCTGGGTGAAGGCTTTGCCCCCTCTCTTAGTATTGCAGTGTCCTTCACCTCCTGGCCTATCTTTGAAATCCTTCGCCTTCTCTCCTCCCCACCTTTAACCTCCCTCAGTTTGTTCCGTCCCCAATTTTGAAGTGGTGGTGGCAAAGCCAGCAACAGGAGCAGTAGGAGGGCAAGCAGCATTGACAGTGCCTCCATGTTGGCAAACAGTCTATTTATGCAATCAATAGGCTATAAAAGGGTGTTGCAATTCAAAAAAGGTTGGGAAGCATTTTCCTAGACACACCCAAAGATTTTTAAGTTTTTTTAAAAAATTGCCACTAGAGGGCTTATATGTTTTTCCCCCAGTAAAAACAACCACAAACTAAAACAAAAATTTAGGAGTAGGGGAGCCATATGAACTGGTCCATATATGGTCTTCCAAAGCTCAGGGATGGGAATATGTTGGCCCCCCGACTTTGAAACATTTATCATCTCTGCTGTAAAGACTTTTCGTTACTGGGAACATCTAGTACAATTCAAAGAGCATGCATACCAATTATTTAAAGAAAGAAAATATTGCTTCAAAGCATACTGATTTCCTATGTCTTGTTTTAGTGTGGATTTTGTGAAGTGGTCATCACAAGGAATGCTAAGGATGAGTCCTGATGCAATGAATGCCCTCTTCAAACCCACCATTGATGAAATCATTAATCATCTCAGTAGGTATCAAGTAGGAATGAATGAGAATTTCATTTTGTATTCTTGAAGGCTTTCATGGCCAGGATCCGATGGTTGTTGTGGGTTTTTGGGGGGTCCCTTTTGTCTTTTGCTGACAGTAACATTTGTTATATTTTTGTGGCTGGTCTGAATATTGTTTGTAGGTTGTGTTTTTTCAAAAGGGACCCCCTCACCACTGCAGAAGTATACCAGATACCTTGCAGTGGTGGCCAGGTATATATTGAAACCACAAAATGCAGCATCCACACCAGAATCAAAGAACATGAGAGACACTGCAGACTAAAACAATCAGAAGAATCTGCAGTAGCTGAACATGCCCCAAAACAAGCTGGACATGAAATTCTATTTCAAAATACTGAAGTACTGGACAACACCAGCAATCATTATGTTAGACTGCACAGGGAAGCTATTGAAATTCACAAACACCAGCAGAGCTTTAACAAAAAAGAAGAAAGTCTAAAACTCAACAAAGCCTAGCTCCCAGCACTGAAAAATACAGCCTGCAAAAGGTCAACGAACTCTACCCAGCCACAAGGACCAGTGATCACTGCACACAAAAGACCAGCTAACAACACCCATCAGTCACAGTGACAGATAATATCTCCCCCCTTACCACAACAGTACACCCACAACAAAAACACACTGATCACCATAATCACCCAAGCTCCTGAAAAGGACAAAAGCTGATCCCACAGCCAAACAGCCTGGAAAACCCACAACAACTAATTTCATTTAGGTTTGTTTTGATCAGAATTTGCCAATATTCTTGAGACTGATGCAAGGCAGATGATGAAACTGACAAATTTATGCACCCCTGATAAATAGAGAATTTCGGTTCTATAAAATTCAGATGTGGGAGAAAGGAAAACTGACAGATCTAACCATCTCGAGTATCAAGTCCCTGTGAGTTTTAAAAACTGCCTCTTTTTTTTAAAAAAAAGACAAAGGCTGAATGCACAAAATGTAGACTGTCTTCAGTATAGTTATCTCGAAGTTTTTTAAATCTTTAAACGGCAACTGTTGATGTCAAGTTTCATTGTTTTAGTCCATATTCTCCTTGGCTTCTTGTTTTGAGTTGATATGATTTCTCTATAGTCCTCTTCAGTCTTTTAGCATCCAGGTGGGCTAAACACACAAGGAGGGAGAGCAAGCTAGACCAACCACCTCCATCACTGCTTTTTTTTTTCATACAAAATATCAGGTCAAAAGATTGGAGATTTCTCAATCTAGGAAGGTTCTCCATGCAAGCCAGAAAATGGGGAAGTCAAGGAGAAGAAAGTAATGGCAGAATGGTTCGACCAAGGTTTTGTTCCTTCTTTGCATATTTTGCCATTCTGGGTTCTGAACAATTGCAGGGGTCTTATGGGAACTGTGAACTTGCTTCTCGGCCTTTTGGCTAAGACAAGTGTAGTGTAGTATCTGTGAGCCCTATACATCAAGTATAAAACAATTTATATTATCACTTGACTTAGAATGAAAGTGAGGAACCTATCATTCCTAACTTTGCTGAATTTATTGACTATCCAGTATTTCACTCTCTGTTCCCATCTTCCATATGCAGATAGTATAGGCACAAAATGCAAAATGAAGGTACGATCTAGCCAAAGCTATGGATTTTCAGTGCCCACTGATTCCAAAGTAAGTACAAAATACTCTGGTAAAAACAGCAGCCACAGAATGGTGTTTACATTTCTGTTTCCATTTTTGACCTTTTTCACAGCCTCTTAAAAGCAAAATAAAATAAAATAATAAAAAAATGGGTGTATTCCCCAGTTCAGGTTGACATGGGAGACACCTTCTTATGCCTGCAGATAGCCAGGGTATTCATAAAGGACCTCTTTCCTTTTTCATATTGACTGGATTAAAAATTGGTAGCTTGACTTCCAATTTTAGAGTTAGTTCAATCTCTAACATAAAGAGGTGGGAATATTCTTTTTTAGGAAACCAGGCAAGATTTTTGGCTTGACTTCCATTACCTGGTGCTTTTCAGACTACAGTTTCTCTGAGCCACAACCAGTGGGTCAGTGGTGACTGGAATTTTAGTCCAAAGCAGTTGAAGGGCACCAGGTTGCAAAATGCTGTTTAGGCCACATAATGTCATATTGTCACCAATAAGCAGACACCTGGTCCATTTTGATTCCATTGCAATATATTTCTATCTTCTATATTGCCCTGTGTGTACATTCCCTGCACTGCCACCATCTATAATAGCAGAGAGAGAGAGAGATACAGTGGTGCCTCGCACAACGATTGCTTCATACAACGATGAATTCACACAGCGATGGGTTTTTTTGAGGAATTTCCCCCATCGTTTAAGGATGTTCTCTATGGGGGAATTTCACTTAACGATGTCCCTTTTTGCCGATTTAAAAGTGTCTTAAAATGTTTGAAACCTGTTTTAAATGCTTGGATTCCATAGCGCACCTTGTGAAACATGTGCAAACTTAATTTGGTTTTGTTCTGAGTCTTCATTAATTTTTGGTGATTTTTTTATTTTCCCCATTTAAATTAATTGAATGGACAGTAAATGAGCGAAAAGGGACATCAGAAAGGACTTCAAAAGCACTCAAGCCGGCTTCAGTGCTTTTGAAGCTCTTCCGTTTTCGCTCATTTTTAAGGGTCTTACAATGTTTGGAACATGTTTTAAATGCTTGCAATCGTTAGCCCACCTCCTGAACCCT